TGAACAAAATAATCTAACAAAATAATCTACGTAATAAAACAACGTAATAAAATCATAGATACGAATAGACTGCGCATTCCTGAAGTTGTCAATATTGAGAAAGAATAAGATAACTTAAAGCATATCGCTCTCTTTCTCTGTTTAAAGTATCGAATCGAAAAGATATGCTGATAGAGTTCCAGAAAGATGCTGATATTCAATTCTTTCTAACTGAACACAGAAGCTAAGATCGAGAAATACGCAGTCTACATCTCTTACATCTATGAATAAAACAGCAAGTACTTTGAAAGATCGATTTTGCTGGAGTATTTAAAAATTTAAATTAAATTAAGCTACAAATCTGAAAATAATTTTAATTAATAGTAAACCCGAGTCAATACATTAAACAAGTTGTAGTTAGGTGTACTAAATAATATTTATTAATCACAAATTATAATTTTCCGACGATAAGTTTCAACGTTTTTCAATCAAGTTTGACTACATGTAATATGATTGCGATATATCTTTGTAACATGAAGATGAGATATTTCTTAGAAATCTGTTATATTATTTATTGTAACTCGAATGTGAAATGATCCTAATATGTTAACATAATTAGATATTTGAGTATTTATGTATTTCTGCGATTGATGAGGACTAAGTATAGTTGAAACGTACCGTTGAAACTTATCGTAGGAAAATTATAATTTGTGATTAATAAATATTATTTAATACACCTAACTATATCTTGTTTAATGTATTGACCTGGGTCTTGCTATTTATTAATTTGTTGTAAGTTATACGAGCGAAAAGAATTAATATTATTTATATTGTAATATTGTATGTGTGTGTGTGTGTAAAAATAATTTTATTAGACCATTAGAATAATTATATTAATAGAAAATTGAAGTATAATGAACAATGTTGCAAAAGGTTTTAACATTTTAACCGTTTGAGTGTCTTACATACAATAATTATTTTGATAGTCTAATAAAATTATTTTTAAATTTATATCTATAAATTAAATTTTTACTTCAACAAAATTGTTCTCTCTCTTTCCATATATTATTTGAAAAACTCATGGTTTGGTATATATTTATCGATAAAAATATTATTGTTAATTTTTAATTAATAATTGTCAATAACATTTGTTTAATTTGTATATTTTACAAATTGAAATGGAATTTTAATAGCTTTAAAAAATATTATATAATATTATATTATAAAAAGATTACACTACTTTGATGTTAATTGTAAGGCAAATTAAAGTATCTATCATTTAAAATTTTAATTAATTTATCTGTTGAGTCTTAATCCATTCATTAAAAAAAATTACTCAAACGAAGTAAGATTTTATATTAAAAGACGGATATTTTAAAAGCTGAAAAGGAAAGGTCTAATACTGAATAAGGAAATATAGAGTTTTAGGTGGGTGATTGCAGGATAATTTAATCAGTTTTAATTTGCTATGTTACAATCTTGGAACTTAGTCCCGCGAGGGTTAATCGACCTGCATACAAAACGCGAGCAATGCTGCGAGCAATTTGCCGTTTTTCTCGGCGCGCAGTTCGTTCTAATTTACAGAAACGCCCGCGACAATCAAAGTGCCGAGAGTGCTCCGAGCAAAGGAGAGAAATGTACTTTGCCCGCCGCTTTGTTGACGGTTCAACGGAGATTTGCTTTGGATCCGAGGACGGCGATCAATTTGGCGCGAAATTACGCTTTTCTAAGGAATACATTTTGCACATTGCACGACAATCTTTTACATTTCGCCGAGCCCGTTCAGCAAACTGTCCGTCGGTTTCTTTTTTCTTTTACCGATTGTTCCGTGAATATTACTACGCTTCGCGTTGTTCTCGTAACATTTCCTTCTCGGTATTAATATTTTTCAGTTGCGAACATAATGAAGCAGGAAATTGCATGCATTGACTATTCCATCGCGGTATATACGTAGCGATAAAATAAAAAAGTTCAGCTTCAAAATTGCTCTGGAAATTTAGACATAAGAAAAAATTAAGCTGCGAATAAAATTTTCTTGTTTGTTTAACATTTCACATTGATTTTAGTGACAAAGAATTTTCTATTTAGAATGCACTCGTATTGAAACATTTGATCTTGAGGATAAAAAAAATGCGAAGGGATGTGGCAATCGAATTTTCGCTAAGGTAAAATTGACTCTAAAATGATCAAAGGATACTGCACGTTTTGGCTCACTAATCTCGTTATCTCGCGCATACTTTAATGAATGAGTACTATACAGGCTACTCGCAATATTCGTTTAGCATATTATCTCGTAGCTTGCTCGCGCTTGTGGAGAATTTAAATTAAGAATTAAATTTAATCATAATGCGCGAACATAAAGTTATCATGGCATTATGAAAAATTTGTTAGAACTCTGTTATAATCATTAAACGCGCATGTATGCTGCGTTTTAAATAAATTTAAATTTATCTCAATTTCAATTTACTTCATGAACAAATCAACAACGAAGTTCGAGAAAAAAAAATCATTTTTCTAATATTGCATTTTCTAATAATACATATAAAAAAATAATATATATATTACATACAAACGCATTTTTTTATATTATGCAATATTAGAAAATTATTTTTTATATAAATATACCTATATCATATCAAAACTACGAACAATTTTAGAATAAGGTATTTTACATGGTATTTTGTTGCACTAACAATTAATGTGCTTCTAGTAAACTAAAAAAACTAGCAATTAGAAGATATAATTTATAGAATTACTTTTTTTAACTGCTAGTTTTTTAGTTACTAGAAGGTTAATATAGAGAGAGAAATTTTATGTCATTATCATAATTTAATTATAATTTAATCATTTTCAGTGCCAAATATATTTTTTTTTGCAAAACTAGAAATATGGTAATTACTAACGAGTAATATTAAAGTATAACTATGAATATAGTGTTTCTGATCATAATTATTTTATCATGTAATTATAATTACATTATCAAATACTCTTCTCTCAGTGCACGCTAGTTGCTAATAAAACGGCATTGTAAATCATTACATAATGTAAAATAAATTTCAGTCGAATAAAAATTTCAATTTGTAAAAATTAAAGACAAATTTGAATTTATCAAAATAAAGAAAGAAATTGTATCTTTTTTAATATTCGATAATGTATCTTTTTTTAATATTCGATAACGATGCGAATTTTGCGAATAAACATCAATGAAATTTCCCGTAGTTTTTCCAGATCGTCATCTCATCAAAAACGGATTAGACAAAATCCTTCGAGATGATCTCGCATTTGTCGCGCAAAACGACGAATACGCTAATCGTGTGCGAGGCGTAGGCTTCAAAATTTCAACTTTGTTGTCGCAGCACCGGAAACGAGATTTTCTCTCGACAACGCTTTCGTTGCTATGCCAGTGTCTCCGTGCGCGGACACTATCGCTTTACGCGAAATCAGATTCCTTCGCGAAAGCAGCTTACCGGCGAGATCGGAGTGTATACGCGTGTACCTATCCAATCAATTCCATCGTATGTACGTATAGAGTGTTTCGACTTTACAGGTAGGGACAAATTTGTCGGCGAAACTGAAATTGATCTTTCCTCGAAAAATGTGAGACGAAGTTTAATTACGATATTAGAGAGCTCTATAATACTTAACGTGTAAAGCTTAAGTCTTCCGGAATGTACTACAAGCATGTACATGTATAATTGAATGAATCCTTTTAATTTAATTTGGAGTTTGACTACTTAGATATAATCAAAGTTAAAAGATACAATTTTTTCATATAGAATACAAATATGGAATTTAGTAAAACAGGACTTTCATGAAACAACCATTTCCAAATGTTCTTTTTAATTCCAGATCTGTATCTTTTATATTTGTCTTTTTTTCATTTAAATTACAAAATTACTGTTCTTACTTTTCAACATTAATTATAACGTCGACTATTTGATTTCGTTTCAACAAAAAAGGTCAATCTTGCTGAGTTACATTTTCTATATATTACTGTAAAAACTTTTGTCCTTCTCATTTGATTTCTTATTTAGTTTTTATATGAAAAGATCTATTTTCTTGAAGCATTTGAAAATTTAGCCAGATATAGATCCAAAAATAACTTTATTGGATTATCACAAATTAATTACGTAGAAATATAATATTATTCAAGTATGGACAATTTTGCAAAAAGTTTTGACATTTTAGTAACCAGTTTAGGCGTCCTATATAATTATTTTCATGGTTTAACAGAATTATTTTTAGACAATAGAATAGGACTGCTTATATGAATAGGTACATAAACTAAGTAAGAGAAGCGTCAATAATGATCAAAGTTAGACGTTGGAATAATACATCTATATGCATTTTAAATAAATCCATCGGACTTGCAACATACGATATAATCTAATTTAACTCTAATTTAATTTGAGGGAATATTATTATTTCAGATTGTGTTGCAAATGCGGAAGTAATCGGTGAATAGTCATATATCATATCATAAATTTATTTAAAATGCATACATAGATGTATTTTTGCAAACGCTTAACTTTTACACTTCTCTTACTTACAATTAGTTGATGTATTAATATAAGCTGGTCTATTCTATTCTTGATATTGCCTGAAAATAATCACGTGGTCTAAATTGATTTAAAATGTCAAACTTTTGAAATATTGTTTATCATGCTTGAGATTTCTACTAATAATTATTTTGAGAATATCCAACAAAGTTATTTTCGGATCTGCATCTAGCTAAATTTTTAGATACTTTAAAAAATTGTTTGATTCGTGCATGCCATGTATTTATCGATTTCATCTTTAAGCAAGTGTAACGAACCAAAGCGGAAATAATGGCTCCGTTCACTTTCAGCACTTTCGGCACGCGAAGATAAACTAGTACAGCTTCGTCTATATAAACTCTCGATCTAAAGAACACACGAAACACATTTCCCGTGGTCAGGCGAACACATACACGCCGTTCAATGCAACACATCGATATGGCAGAAGTTGACTAGTATAGGGAATGTGGAAAGGTACTTTACCGGTTCGCCGTTGATGGTCCAACGTAGATTGGCCTTAGGCACGGATGGCCAGGCAGTGCAGTTGGCAGTCACGTTTTCGCCGACGGCATACTGCATGGACAGACCTGTGATTTCCGGTCCTCTCTCCGGAGGTGCTGTGAACGTAAATTTTCCGTGTGTGAGACGTAGCGAAAGTTTTCCCATAAACCAGTTACTTTCCTCCGGTTAGACTCTATAAACTTTCGACTATTACCTAGAGTTCTTCGCGTCTGTACCTTCGTTCGTCTGTTCGTTTGTTCGTTCTATCCTCGTCATGGAGATAGATAGGACTAATGCCCGTATTCATAGTCAGACTTTGTACTTAAAGCCTTGTACTTCCTTAAATTTATCTTTAGATGCTCAGCAGCCAATGAAATAATTCGTAGAGTATCTAAAGATAAATTTAAGGAAGCCTTAAATATAAGGCCTGACTATGAATACGAGTGTAAAGATTTTCAATTAAGAAATTGGCCACTGTTCGTATTCAGGGCTTAAGATACAATGAGACAGATAATTATAGATAAGATATGCTGTTAGATATTAAAGAGACAATTTCCATTGCTATACTGCAAATCTATAGTGTATGTAACGTAACTATAGATTTTCAGTGTGCTGAAAGTGAATTTTTTTGAACACAGTTGAAATGAAATATCCATTTCACTCTATTTTATACATTTATTTTATTCTATCTTGAGCATCGTCCTGAATATGAACCAAAAAGTTGTCTAAATGGTGACTAAATCTCTTACTTGAGTATCTCTAGATATAGAACAGAAGAAACAAGAGAATCAGAGAAAACTCGCTTCGTGAGATGCAAGTTTAGCACGTGAGATGAATTTTTCAAGCACTGTTTTTTATACAAGGCATTTTCGTAAGCGAAAAATGAAGACACATATATATATATATATATATATATGTATATATATGTATACATATATTGTGTTGATAATTTATAAATGATTGGAACAGCCCTCGCAAATAATGAATTTAACCTTTGAGCGATGGGCTGCGAGTTGCTAACGGCGAGATGGATGAGAACCTTCTCTTATATATTAAGTAAAATAGAATTCTGACAAAATAAATCAAATTCAGATAGGTCATTTAGTGAGTCTATACACATCGATGATGAATAGTGAATGATGGAGCGTTGAATTTTACTTCGACACGAGTCCAATTATATGTATGAACGATTTCTAGAGGTGCATTCCACTTATATTTTTTCTGGCGCTTTTTCCTCAGTCGATTCGAATTCCCGTTTACTTTGTTGGAACGATTCCGGCGACACTCGGAATAAGTTTCGCGACCGCACCGCTCAGCACGAAGGGAATTAATTTTCAATTAAATCGGACGCGTGATTTTTCCTGATCGTAATTAAACGAGAAGGCGCATCAACCCATGAAATATCGACTCGTGTTAAATGTAACACGCGAATAGTGCAATGAACAGTCGTAATTTTGGAAAAGATTATGGAGACGGAAAAATATAGAATAATAATTGATACGAGCTTTATTCCGTATTCGCTTATGTGACAAATGAAATTAGAATGTGCAATGGCAGAGCCGATTGAAATGGTTACGCTTGTGACCGCCAGAGCGAAAAATTACTAAATTTTACTCGCGTTTGACATGGAGTACCGCGCGTGTTTACAACGGGACAATAGCCAAGAGCCATAATTCTCCGGGCAATTAATCACTCGGTGGACTAATAATTAAATCCAACGTGGTAACTGTTATGCTTTCGAAATACCATCGCGTAATTTATACACAAGTGTTTAATAGTTTATCAACTGAATAATAGCAAATTCAGTATGGATTTATATGCTTGAAACAATATTTTTAATAGGAAAATTATTTACTTATTGAACTTATTCTATTGTTCAAAATGTAAGAGAAATAGGGATTCCATCTCTTTCGTGGTTTTATTATAGAAAATCCTATAAAATTATTTTTATGAAATTAAATTCTCAATTTTTTAGATGTTATACGGAAAAAATTTCACTGTTGGAAAATTTGTGTTAAATTTAACACAAATTTTATGTGTCTCAAATCACCTTCCACTTAAATTTATATGCTAATTTAACATAAAATGAATATGTTAGAAGGTAACGTAAATACTATTATATTTTAAAAAAATAAACACAAAAAGGTAATACTGACACAATTTGTAAACAAACTGGAAACATTCTTTTCAGTAAAATTTACAATTATGATATGTTAAATTAACATATTGGGTTAGGGAAAAAATCTTTCTATAAATTGATAAAGAGACCTTTCTTCACATCAATATCTTCGTTAACAATGATCAAAATTTAAATTAAAAAAAAAGATTTTAAAGCTTGAAATCTCTATCTTTGAATGGTTACTATATTTTTTGAATTTATATGAGTTTTGTAATTTTTGCATATATAGAAAACTACGAACTGAAGAAATAAAAAATTTTCTTTTCACTTTATAGGTCTGTAGCGTGCCCAAAAAAATTTTCGACTATTTATTATGAAAATTTTTGCTTAAAGTTTTTTCTACAAAATCATTTTTTAAAAATGTTCCTACAATTTTTTGTTCTTGAATTACTCGCGAATTAAGTAAAGAGGAATACTTTAACTTTATTTCTCGTAACTTCGTTAAAAATCATCGTATTGTAATTATAGATACAGATTCTTAAAGCTGAAACGTTGCTCTATAAAGTGATATTGCCATCTTTTAAAAAAAAAATATATGTTGCTAAAAAAGTCTTTTTACCAATTTGTAAAGGAACTTTTTCTTAACTCAATATTTTATTCATTATTATTTATCTTATAGAATTTACGTTTTAAATTATTTATTTATTTATATTTATTTATTTATTTATAAATTGTTTTATTTTCACACTGAGAAATGTTGAATATCAATTTAACACAAACTGTTAACAAGAATGTGAGTGGTCCGTTTCCAACACAAATACATAATGTTTTTTACTGTGTAGAACGCTCGAATTGGTTGCTAGAATGTCAAAATTTTTTGCAGCGTGGTTTATCACGCTTAAATTTTTTACATAATTATTTTAATGAGCCAAAATTATTTTTAGGTCTGTATCTAGTTAAAGTTTTACATGCTTCAGCAAAATTCTTTCCATGACACTCTCAAGAATTCTCACTTTTACTAACAATGACTTGCTTGCATGAGATAATTTTAAGTCTTCATTTTTTCGTACGGATCATACGTCGATTCACAATCAATTATCGGATATCGTGGACCGCTGTCGGGTGCGTGCTGGCGCGCTCGATGCCTCTAATAACGTTAATTGGCACGCTGGATTATGAGAGACATTCGCGTTCGAGCGGGCGCGATCGAATGCTCAATTAAACATCCGCTCTGTTGTCCGAGTGCACGCGTTGCACCAGCACGTCGCGCTACAGCTCTGCCTCGGATTTGGTCCATTAATGCTTTCCGTCCTCTCCTCTTTCACCCTGAAATATCCGGGGCGCAATTAAAACCCAGAATTTCGGGGTGCGTCACGCGCGGGGATTTCCTCCGGCCGGCGCAGCGCCGCTGTCGATTTCACACCGAAACGCGAACGAAAAGGGCGTAAAAGGAGTCATCAGTTGAGAGCGTCGCAGGGTGGTAATATACAGGGGAAATTTTCGAGAGATCACGGAAAAGCGCGTTGGAAAATGGAGACGGTGTCAGATCGCAAGCATATGCTGCCGAAAGTTCCGCCATCATAATTTCGGCACGCATTAAGCTTGTAATGGAACCAATTATTTTGCCGAGATTGTCGGTTTCTTCCGTAAAATTTTATCCATAATGATGCTTAACAACAATCGACTCGAATCCTGTTAAGGTAGAAATATAGATTCGGAAGAAATAGTTGTTATAGTTATGTCGCTTGTATTTTGAAAAAAATTGTTACAAAAACATATTAAGTCATATAAGGAAGATTTAGCAAATGAGTAGTTGATACTTGATACAATGTACAATTAATTGAAATAAAGTAATTTTTCAGTTATTCTCTTTGGACTCTTTGGAGTTGACGGTATATCCATTAGAATATAAATCTATCTATTGATATTATAAATCTCTTTGTCAAAAATGTCAAACAATTTAATTTTCTTTATATTATATCTGCAATAAATTGGATTATTCTTATTAAATATACTTAATATTGATTAGTAATCTTTAATATTTTTTAATATTTTTTAGTAGTACAACACGAAAAACATGGTTTTGCTGAAGCATGTAAAAATAAGACTAGATACAGATTTGAAAATAATTATGTTGATCCATCTAAATAATTATATTGGATGATCAAGCTGATTGCAAGAATGTCAACATTTTTTATACACGGAGAAAATTTTATATTAAGTTTTAATACAATTTTAAATTATACTTTATTATGCCTTGTATTTTCGATGAACCATCACAACATGATTTCGACGTAACTTTTATTATGGGAATACTAATTTTTATCATATAAATAGTAATTTTTGTTAAAAGCCAAAGCTTAAGCCATATTCTAATGAACATGAAAACAGTTAATTTTTACTATGGTACGCAAACAAAATTTGCTAGGTATATATTTTTTACTTATCTTCACAATACTAACTTTTATTCAACAAGTTTGATTTTGTAATAAAAAATTTTTACTATGAAAAAGTGTAAAAATTATGTTGCAAATTATTGTTTTTAAAAAAATAGCTATATCATTTAAACTTATAATTATCATGACAGTCCGTAGTACTATCACATTATATAGTAATTTTAATTATAAAATTTTCTCCGTGAACATTATCATGAATCTCGTGATCCCTAAATAATTATTATAAAGGTCTATAATTCAGGATTGCCACAGATCTGGAAAACCGGAAAAACCGGGAAAAGTCAGAGAAATTGAAATTGAAAAATCGGAAAAAGTCAGGGAAAATATAAAAGAGACTAGAATTTTTAACTTTGTTGAGACTAGAATTTTTATAATTCCCTTAAACTGCTTTTATTTCAAATAATTTTTATAATTTTTTAAATATTATATTTGATGTTTATACAGTCAAATATGTTCAAAACTTGTGTACTTTAAAAAAATGTTTTTTAAATAACGAAAATTTATATTTCATTCAGTCATTTTATTTGATCGCTATTTTTAT